AAACACTAGGCTCTCCCAGTGTTTGGTACTGGACAGAGACCAATGATTGTCTTGGTGTCCGTGAAAACTCTGAAAGCAGGAATAGGATCACCCAGCTCCACCAATCTCTTACCAATATCCAGAGAGTTTCAGGGATCCGTAGGGTCCAAGTTTTGATTTGTTTTGCTTCGTTGGTACTGGGGATGGAACCCAGGGGCATTCTACCACCAAGCTACATCCCAGGTCTTTTATAGATAATGCCAGGGGAAATTGCTAAGGCTGACCTTGAATTTATGATCTTCCTGCTGCAGAATCCCAAGTTGCTGGGATTACAGGCATGAGCCACTATGCCCTTGTAGTAGCCAAGTTTCAACAGGCCTTTGCCATCTGGGTAGCAACTAAGGCTGGACACAGCGTCCAGGTATGAAAGAAGAATGAATGCTATCAGAGGTGATTCCTACACTGCGTGTCCAGCCAGGCTGCCCCGTTCTGCATGCTGCACACTTTCTCCTCCCCAAAGCTCAAGGTTCTGTGACTGTCCTCATCCTGCATTTGGAGAAATAGAGGCTCAGGGATGAAAGAAGTACCTCAATAGCCCGGATTAGAACTGCAGACTGGCTGTCCTCATGCAGAGCTGATGCATCTCCCAGGAGGAAGGGCCTAGGGATGAATGCTGTCACATGGGGTTGGGGAGTAGGGCTCTAGGCGACCTTGGATAGATTCGAATAGGGTGCTGGGTTGGAGGAATTTCACCACCTCTCTTCCCTAACCCACCAGACCTGTGGACCATCAGTCACAGTTTGTCCAGTATAAGCCCTGTAAGTTCCATGTTCCTGTTTTCTTGGTTCCATTGGTCACTATGCCTATGGTCTTAGTCTGTCCCTGGACCAGCTGGGGAGAAGGCCAAATGGCCTTCAAGACACAGGCTGGGAGGCCTTTTCAATTACATTAGCTTCCAGCCTTGCTAGAGGGAGACGCTAGCCCTACCCTATCCTCCTCTCTTCCTATGGCTCAGTGGGAGATGGTGATTCAGCAGCAAGTCAGTCGGAAGGAGGCTAGACTGTGACCTCCTGGGAGGGGAGTCACTGGTAGGATTGGGGCTGTCAGCATGGCTCATGGCAAGCCTTGGAGCAAAGAAGGGTTGTGGGAGGGGGTCTTGAGCTGTGAGGGAACTGGACCCCAACAGAGGGCCTTGCCCTCCTGCCCAGGCCAGGACTGGTTGCAAGGCCCTTGGGGGTGAGTGTGCCAGGGGCGGGGGCACATGGTATGTGAGGGTTGGGGGGATTCCCAGCCTCTGGATACCTAAGCTGCTTCTCAGCATATTCGGCAGCTAAAAATACAAAATGGCTTTGCTAAAAGGTGCCCAACCGGAAACCTCTAAGAGGTTTCCTATTAGGGCAGCGCCTGCTTGGGCTGGAGGCCAGATACCGAGTGAAGGATTCCTCTGGCCTGCCATCCTGCCATTCAGTCTCAGCCTGGCTGCCCCCACCACAAGCGCTCAGCCTCACTCATTAACCCCACGTGCTTGTCAGGCCCCAGGGCTCTGCCTTCCACTCTGGCACCCACTGCTGGGGGGAGGGGTGTTCACTGGGGGTTTGCCCAACCCAGCCCTCCCTGACCTTGACCCAGTTCCCCAGCGTCTCTAAACCTTGTTTTTCTCACCTGCAAGAAGAAGAGACTGCTCCACTTGCAGGGAGCGATAGAGAAGCCCTTGGTGGGGTGGGCTCCCCACTCTGGTTGAAGGCCAGGCAGGCCAAGGGATTTGTCTGGAAGCTTCTTTGGCTTGCCAAGCACACTGTTCTTACTTAGTGTGGATGTGTCTTAGGGGTGGCTGGGGCCCAGTGGAGATTATGCAACACTGGCGAGCCTCAGAATCCCCAGGGAAGCTTTCTGGAGATGAAGGTAATGGGGGTGGGGGTTAGCCAGCTTTCTAGATGATTACATTGAGTGGCCAGGCTGAGACTTACCGATGTGGTACTTGGCACAAAGCCACTCGAGGCATATGAGTTATGTCCCTTGTGCACTCCGGAGCCTCAGTGTACTCCCCTGTCACAAGGGAATAGCCTCCCTACCTCCCTACTGGGAGCTAGAAGAGAATCCTGAACAGCCCACAGCTGCACGAACAATGGGGAGAAGGGGGCATTACTGTGAGGAAGTGACCCTCTGTCTGGATTGCTGGTGTCCCCAGGAATTCGGGTGGCTGTGGAGTCCCAAGCCCAAGAGTCTTCTCCCAGCAGGTCCAGCAGGAAAATGGTGGGACAGAGAATAGCTCCTCATTGCCAGTCATTCCCTGCCCTTCCCTGGTGGCCCAGCCTTGCTCAGCAAAAAAACCTGAAAAGCTAATTCCCTCCTTGGGCACAGAGAGCCCCCTGGGTGGATGCAGCCACCTGATTGTCATCTCCTCCCCATGCTTGAGCTCCAAGACAGCATTGCCAGGCAGACCTGGACAGTGTCTGCCCAGCCTCCCTTCTGGCTCAGAAAGAGGAACATGTTGGTTGGAAGTTGGGGGATTCCCCCTCCCCCTTTCCTGATGCCTTTTGGAGAAACAGTTTCAACAGATTCTCATCCAGCATTTTTTATTCCTGCTGGTAGGTTTATAAATAACAGCCCTTCCCCCCATTGGGTGACCTTGGGCACTGCTAAACCTGTTTCTTCATCTGAAAAATGGGGATGATAACCCCTTCCTCTTAGTGTGGCTGGAGGGTTGGCATACCAAGGGGGTTCTCAGACAGGATGAGGGGGAAGAATAGGGATTAGAAATGAAACTTTTTAGGGTTGGGATTAGCTCAGTGGTAGAGCACTTGCCTTGTATGTGTGAGGCCCTGGGTTAGATCCTCAGCACCACATAAAAATAAATAAATAAAAATATTGTGTGGGCTGGGGATGTGGCTCAAGCGGTAGCGCGCTCGCCTGGCATGCGTGTGGCCCGGGTTCGATCCTCAGCACCACAT